GATTGTCCAATAGTTAATAGAGGTAGAAGGATTGTCCAATAGTTTATAGAGGTAGAAAGATTGTCCAATAGTTTATAGAGGTAGACGGATTGTCCAATAGTTTATAGAGGTAGAAGGATTGTCCAATAGTTTATAGAGGTAGAAGGATTGTCCAATAGTTTATAGAGGTAGACGGATTGTCCAATAGTTTATAGAGGTATACGGATTGTCCAATAGTTTATAGAGGTAGACGGATTTTCCAATAGTTTATAGAGGTAAATGGATTGTCCAATAGTTTATAGAGGTAGAAGGATTGTCCAATAGTTTATAGAGGTAGACGGATTGTCCAATAGTTTATAGAGGTAGAAGGATTGTCCAATAGTTTATAGAGGTAGACGGATTGTCCAATAGTTTATAGAGGTAGAAAGATTGTCCAATAGTTTATAGAGGTAGAAGGATTGTCCAATAGTTTATAGAGGTAGAAGAATTGTCTAATAGTTTATAGAGGTAGAAGGATTGTCCAATAGTTAATAGAGGTAGATGGATTGTCCAATAGTTTATAGAGGTATATGGATTGTCCAATAGTTTATAGAGGTAGAAGGATTGTCCACTAGTTTATAGAGGTAGAATGATTGTCCAATAGTATATAGAGGTAGACGGTTGTCCAATAGTTTTTTGGGGTAGAAGGGTTGTCCAATAGTTTATAGGGGTAGAAGGATTGTCCAACAGTATATAGAGGTAGACGTATTGTCCAATAGTTTATAGGGGTAGAAGGATTGTCCAATACTTTATAGAGGTAGACGGATTGTCCCATAGTTTATAGAGGTAGTAGGATTGTCCAATAGTTTACAGAGGTAGAAGGATTGTCCAATAGTTTATAGAGGTAGACAGATTGTCCATTAGTTTATAGAGGTAGAAGGATTGTCCAATAGTTTATAGAGGTAGACGGATTGTCCAATGCTAGACCTTGGGCCCACATTGGTTATAGGGTGGACTTTACCAGACACTGGACACTGTATCAGAATGTATTGCCGTACTTTTAATGAAGACGTATTGTCTCCATTTATATACATTGGAAAGCTCTCATACATCAGAACTATGATGGCTGAAGGTTCTTACGTAAGTGTTAAATGCGTGGGCTATATTATAGTGACAAAGGTGTGATCTGATCCCTGTCTGCCTCTGATGATGGAAGAGATAACTTCCAACATTGATCACTGACCTGCTGTCTCACACAATAAAATACCTCAGCAGTTCTGGTCAATATGTGCCAGCAATGTCTTACCCAAACCAGCATTCCCCTACCAATAAGCCTGATCCTGTTTATATTGTTAGGAGGTGTTAATTAATTTGTGATTTTATCTTCAATTTCCTTTTTAAAATAATATATTGTTTCAGCCAAACTGCTGGTCATTTGAATATTATCAGTTATATCTCAAGTCAGAAATGATATTATGCGTATTGTTTTTTGCAGGCAAGGAGTCCAACGGAGCTCAGCTTCAGTTTGGATGGCAGCAAAGCCCAGAGGGAGCTCATCTCTCAGCTGGAGGCTAAAAACAGGTAGGACATAAGGGCACTGATAGAGGCCTAGGGGATAGTCCGTAGTGGGACGCAGAGGGAGCTCATCTCTCAGCTGGAGGCTAAAAACAGGTAGGACATAAGGGCACTGATAGCGGGGATAGTCGGTAGTGGGACGCAGAGGGAGCTCATCTCTCAGCTGGAGGCTAAAAACAGGTAGGACATAAGGGCACTGATAGAGGGGATAGTTGGTAGTTGGACGCAGAGGGAGCTCATCTCTCAGCTGGAGGCTAAAAACAGGTAGCTTATAGGACATAAGGGCACTGATAGCGGGGATAGTTGGTAGTGGGAGGACGGGTAGTGATGGAAGGTTGTGAGATACAAGGGATGGACTGTGGAAATGGAAGGTAGGGGGAAGTAAAAATGTAAGGGAGGAATTGTGAAGATGGAAGATAGGAGGAAGTAAAAATGGAAGGGATAGGCTCAATGAAGATGGAAGGGAGGGGAAGTCAAAAAGGAAGGGAGGGATTGTGATTTTGAAGGGAGGGGAAAGTAAAAATGGAATGGAGGGATTGTGAAGATGAAAGGTAGGGGGAAGTAGAAATGGAAGGGAGGTGCTGTGAAGATGGAAGGGAGGGGAAGTGAAAGAGGGAAAGGACAAAGGGACTGAACAGTAATTGATGGATGGAATGAGCAGTGATGAAGGGATGGGCAACTAAGTGTAAGGAGGTGAAAGGGGCAGGGAGTGGCATTGATTTGGGGTAGAAATGGAAGAGTTGGGCAGTGTTTGGGGAGTTGAATAAAAGAGAGATAGTGAAGGGGAAAGGTCTTCCCTAAGGGATGGAAGCAGTACTCTTGTAGAGTAAAAGTGGTTCTGGGTGAGATTTAGTACACTGAATTATTGGTAGAACATTAAGAGAAGGAATGAGACAGGTTTAGATAAGTTGGATTAGTAGGAACACGGGTTTGTATTAGACCAGGAGAAACATGGCTCTGGTGGAAGTGTTGCTTTTGTGTATTTATAAGTATCATCATCTATTATCAACTAACTAGCATATCCTTCTAAAGACCCATAGTCATAAAGGATGGTGTATGCTGAGGAGCAATCTAAATACACATCCTGGAATTAACCAAGTTAAAGCATTGTTAGGTTTACACCATTTAATCCTTCTGGTAATACAAATCTTCAGCAGTCTACAGCAGCCAATGTAATCTCCTTTCCTAATCTAACTAAATGTCCCTTGCACAAATAGATCCCACTATAACTAACAAGGCAATTGTAATGATACAGGAAGTACTCAGTTCCTCCTGTTGGAAATTTAGATTGATTTAAATGTGCTTTCTCCTCATACATACCTTATGCTGGCCATCAATTTACAGTATTGATCACATGTCTGAACTTTAATGTCCTCCATCAAACAATCCCTCAGTACACAGCATTCTGGTGCAGTAAGAAAAACACCGGCAAAAACGTTTGTTGTCACATCAGTAAGAGACACACAGATATAGACAGTTGTTGCCACATCAGTGAGAGACACATGCATAAACAGTTGTGTTGTCACATCAGTGAGAGACATACAGATATAAACATTTGTTGTCACATCAGTGAGAGACACACAGATATAAACATTTGTTGTCACACCAGTGAGAGACACATACATAAACAGTTGTTGTTACATCAGTGAGAGACACACAGGCATAAACAGTTGTGTTTTTACATTAGTGAGAGACACATGCATAAACAGTTGTGTTGTCACATCAGTGAGAGACACAGATATAGACATTTGTTGTCACATCAGTGAGAGACACACAGATATAAACATTTGTTGTCACACCAGTGAGAGAAACATACATAAACAGTTGTTGTTACATCAGTGAGAGACACACAGGCATAAACAGTTGTGTTTTTACATCAGTGAGAGACACACAGATATAAACATTTGTTGTCACATCAGTGAGAGACACATGCATAAACAGTTGTATTGTCACATCAGTGAGAGACACACAGGCATAAACAGTTGTGTTGTCACATCACTAAGAGACACACAGATATAAACATTTGTTGTCACATCAGTGAGAGACACAGGAATAAACAGGTGTGTTGTCATATCAGTGAGAGACACACATGCATAAACAGTTGAATTGTCACATCACTAAGAGACACACATGCATAAACAGTTGTGTTGTCACTTTAGTGAGATACACACAGATATAAACAGTTGTGTTGCCACATCAGTAAGAGACACACAGGTATAAACAGTTGTTACATCAGTAAGAGACACATGCATAAACAGTTGTGTTGTCACATCAGTGAGAGATACACAGATATAAACAGTTGTGTTGTCACATCAGTGAGAGACACACAGGTATAAACAGATGTGTTGTCACATTAGTGAGAGACACATGCATAAGCAGTTGTGTTGTCACATCAGTGAGAGACACACAGGTATAAACAGTTGTGTTGTCACATCAGTGAGATACACACAGATATAAACATTTGTTGTCACACCAGTGAGAGAAACATACATAAACAGTTGTTGTTACATCAGTGAGAGACACACAGATATAAACAGTTGCGTTGCCACATCAGTGCGAGACACACAGGTATAAACAGATGCGTTGTCACATTAGTGAGAGACACAGGCATAAGCAGTTGTGTTGTCACATCAGTGAGAGACACATGCATAAACAGTTGTGTTGTCACATCAGTGAGATACACACAGATATAAACAGTTGTGTTGCCACATCAGTGAGAGACACACAGGTATAAACAGTTGTTACATCAGTAAGAGACACATGCATAAACAGTTGTGTTGTCACATCAGTGAGAGATACACAGATATAAACAGTTGTGTTGTCACATCAGTGAGAGACACACAGGTATAAACAGTTGTGTTGTCATATTAGTGAGAGACACAGGTATAAACAGTTGTGTTGTCACATCAGTGAGAGACACACAGGTATAAACAGTTGTGTTGTCACATTAGTGAGAGACACAGGTATAAACAGTTGTGTTGTCACATCAGTGAGAGACACACAGGTATAAACAGTTGTGTTGTCATATTAGTGAGAGACACAGGTATAAACAGTTGTGTTGTCACATCAGTGAGAGACACACAGGTATAAACAGTTGTGTTGTCATATTAGTGAGAGACACAGGTATAAACAGTTGTGTTGTCACATCAGTGAGAGACACACAGGTATAAACAGTTGTGTTGTCATATTAGTGAGAGACACAGGTATAAACAGTTGTGTTGTCACATCAGTGAGAGACACACAGGTATAAACAGTTGTGTTGTCACATCAGTGAGAGACACACAGATATAAACAGTTGTGTTGTCATATTAGTGAGAGACACAGGTATAAACAGTTGTGTTGTCACATCAGTGAGAGACACACAGATATAAACAGTTGTGTTGTCATATTAGTGAGAGACACAGGTATAAACAGTTGTGTTGTCACATCAGTGAGAGACACACAGATATAAACAGTTGTGTTGTCATATTAGTGAGAGACACAGGTATAAACAGTTGTGTTGTCACATCAGTGAGAGACACACAGATATAAACAGTTGTGTTGTCATATTAGTGAGAGACACAGGTATAAACAGTTGTGTTGTCACATCAGTGAGAGACACACAGATATAAACAGTTGTGTTGTCATATTAGTGAGAGACACAGGTATAAACAGTTGTGTTGTCACATCAGTGAGAGACACACAGATATAAACAGTTGTGTTGTCACATCAGTGAGAGACACACAGGTATAAACAGTTGTGTTGTCATATTAGTGAGAGACACAGGTATAAACAGTTGTGTTGTCACATCAGTGAGAGACACACAGGTATAAACAGTTGTGTTGTCACATCAGTGAGAGACACACAGATATAAACAGTTGTTACATCAGTAAGAGACACATGCATAAACAGTTGTGTTGTCACATCAGTGAGAGATACACAGATATAAACAGTTGTGTTGTCACATCAGTGAGAGACACACAGGTATAAACAGTTGTGTTGTCATATTAGTGAGAGACACAGGTATAAACAGTTGTGTTGTCACATCAGTGAGAGACACACAGGTATAAACAGTTGTGTTGTCACATCAGTGAGAGACACACAGATATAAACAGTTGTGTTGTCACATCAGTGAGAGACACACAGGTATAAACAGTTGTGTTGTCACATCAGTGAGAGACACACAGGTATAAACAGTTGTGTTGTCACATCAGTGAGAGACACACAGATATAAACAGTTGTGTTGTCACATCAGTGAGAGACACACAGGTATAAACAGTTGTGTTGTCACATCAGTGAGAGACACACAGATATAAACAGTTGTGTTGTCACATCAGTGAGAGACACACAGGTATAAACAGTTGTGTTGTCACATTAGTGAGAGACACAGGTATAAACAGTTGTGTTGTCACATCAGTGAGAGACACACAGGTATAAACAGTTGTGTTGTCACATCAGTGAGAGACACACAGGTATAAACAGTTGTGTTGTCACATCAGTGAGAGACACAGAGGTATAAACAGTTGTGTTGTCACATCAGTGAGAGACACACAGGTATAAACAGTTGTGTTGTCACATCAGTGAGAGACACAGAGGTATAAACAGTTGTGTTGTCACATCAGTGAGAGACACACAGGTATAAACAGTTGTGTTGTCACATCAGTGAGAGACACAGAGGTATAAACAGTTGTGTTGTCACATCAGTGAGAGACACACAGGTATAAACAGTTGTGTTGTCATATTAGTGAGAGACACAGGTATAAACAGTTGTGTTGTCACATCAGTGAGAGACACACAGGTATAAACAGTTGTGTTGTCACATCAGTGAGAGACACACAGATATAAACAGTTGTGTTGTCATATCAGTGAGAGACACACAGGTATAAACAGTTGTGTTGTCACATCAGTGAGAGACACACAGGTATAAACAGTTGTGTTGTCATATTAGTGAGAGACACAGGTATAAACAGTTGTGTTGTCACATCAGTGAGACACACAGGTATAAACAGTTGTGTTGTTACATCATTGAGAGACACCCACGTATAAACAGTTGTTTTCACGTTAGTGAGATACACACAGTTATGAACATTTGTTGTCACATCAATCAGAGACACAGGTATAAACAGTTGTGTTCGGACATCAGTTAGAGACACACAGGTATAAACAGTTGTGTTGTCACATCAGTGAGACACACAGGTATAAACAGTTGTGTTGTCACATCTGTTGAGACACACAGGTATAAACAGTTGTTGTCACATCAGTGAGAGACACAGATATAGACATTTGTTGTCACATCAGTGAGAGACACACAGATATAAACAGTTGTATTGTCACATCAGTGAGAGACACACAGATATAATCATTTGTTGTCACATCAATCAGAGACACACAGATATACAAATTTGTCCTGGTGATGGTAGAATATTTACCTTGATGAATGTCCTAAATAGGTTAAAGTACTAGGTTATTACTAAGAAACTCTTTGTGTCATTTCCTCTGTATATTATGTATAAAAGTTAGGTTTAAATTAGGTATGATGATGTCACATTTTGTCTGTTAAAGGGAGATAATGAGGGAGATACAGAGACTGAGACTAGAACAGGAAGCTCACGCCAAAAGTACAGCAGATGCTCAATACAACCCAACCCTACTGGCTGAGCTTCGGTTACTACGGCAACGCAAAGATGAGCTAGAAAACCGCATGCAGGCCCTCCAGGAAAGTCGCAAGGAGCTTATGCTACAGCTGGAGGGACTCATGAAGTTACTCAAGGTAGGCAGGGTCAAAGGTCAACAATTCACATGAAAATTTAAATGACATTGGTTTATACATGTATTCTCCCTTCCTCCATCAAACATAAAGGAGAACTGCATTGGGTACATAGGAAATAGTAGCTATGATTCAGCCATATATGAGGCTGTAAGGAAAAAGAACATCTTTTGATATTAACTTTGTACTGTACATGTTATGCGTAGGTTTTGAAAATTTAAAAAAAAGGAAAATTGTAAATAATGAAAACCATTGAAACAACACTTATGAAACACTGTGAATATTTCATGATTTTATGGACAACTCGTACACATTTTACACCTTTGTGTGCATACGCTTCATTGGTCATTTGTCTGATGAAGGTGACAGTGTACATATCGTACTAGTCATCGAAACATCACATAGGACATTTTATTGGTTGTGTAAAAAGATCTTCTCATAATCCATACTTACCAACCTGAAAAAAATGTTTAGAAATACTGTGAATTTATGCACTGAAACGCGCCTTGATCAATTCTTTCAAATATTGATGAAATTACTATTGACTTTGATTTGTTATAGAACCACCCTACCTCACCCAGATCCACACCTAATGAGAGTCCTCGCTCTCAGACGGCCAGCCTTCCCCCCACTTCGTACGCTGGGCGGGCGAGCGCCCCCACCACGCCTGCCATGGAGTCTTCCATGCTGTCGGGAGTGGGTGGGGATGTGAGGCAGGCCTTCAGTCAACCCACCACTGTCACCAGTGTACGACATCTCAGGAACGACCTCCTCGTGGCCGCAGACTCTGTCACCAGCGCCATGTCCTCCCTTGTCAAGGAACTCAACTCTGGTAGGTCAGACCAACATCCAAAGCACTGCAAGCTAACACATCCTTCTGTATAGCTTCTACTAGGTATCATAAATCTATCTTTATCACTGGAATGAAATCATGATTGGAATAGATATCATAATAAATTTACTGAAAGTACTGTTAGTATTTTATGAATTTATTCACGGGCAAAGACATATTTCGAAATAAGGATTTTAGAAAAGTAGTTAGAGCTTACAAAGATTCCCTGTTGGATATGGAAGTTAAAGATGACTCGATGTATGATAGTAAAAATTGACTAAGGATCCTTGTGTGGTACTGAGATATGACTAAGAATTCCTTTATATGTTTATAAGATTTTGGTAAACCTCCCTGTATGGTTCTGAGAATTGACTGAGTATCCGTGATAGGTAATCCGAGACCACTTAGACTCTGTGTATGATAGTGAGATTTTACTAAGACTCGTATAGGAATACAGCTGTAATCAGAGTTTATCAAAGATTTTTGTTATGGTATTGAAAGTTTTCAAAGACTATGAGTTTAAAGATGTTAATTTAAAACTCCCTGCAGAGTAATGAGAGTTTATTAAGACTGCTTGTGGGGTTATGTGGGTGTTTTAAGACTCAATGAAGAGTGATGAGAGTTTATTAAGACTGCTTGATGAGAATACGTGGGGGGATTCAAGACTCCCTGTAGAGCAATGAGAGTTTATTCAGACTGCTTGTTGGGGATATGTAGGGCGACTAAAGACTCCCTGTATATCTATTAGAGTTTATTATAAAAGTGCTTGCTTGGGATTGCTTTTCAGGTCCGAAGCTCAAAGGTCAAGGTCACTGTTATTATAAATAGAAACTTCACTAAAACTGTATACTGGACGGCTTCGATCTACCACTTGACCCACTGTGTATACCTCTGAAATGCAGTCTTACTCCAAATGTTATTGACAACACTAGCTGTTTAACATCATAATCCACAAGTTTATTCATTTATTTATGGGAAACCATCCTTGTGTTAGAAGTGTTGATATAAGACTCCCTGTAGAGTAATGAATTGTATGTGGTTGATATATATCTCTCTGACCTTAAAACAAGGCAAGGGTAGAGTCAATGCCGTTGTTTTCTTTCTTAATGGTGGAATAATTTCGTCCTTTGCTCCTCGTCTGGATACACGAAAGTATGCAGGGGATTGAGTAAAAGTGAGAACATCCTAAAATAGATTCACTCACAACAGGCCAAGGAGTAATAGGTTGTTCTTGTAGTTTATTAGAAGTGTCGACCAGTTTCGCCCCTACAGTGGGCTTCTTCAGGACAAAATTATAGGATATTTCTACCCCTGAAGTACTAAAAATGTGGGCACTTACAATTGTTCTACATATATATATGTACATGTATAGTGACATCAATTGCTGTGACAGAAATTGTGACGTCATAAACAATAGGTTGTATTGTGACGTCATCAATAGTTATTACAAGATAGATAACTCTGTTAAGCCAATATCAATACATATCTAAAATGACATCAGTACAAATGTTGTCTAGCGGGACATAATAATAGTTAAGATAATGCAAACTCTTTACATATTGAATTGTCCATTGGTAGGTTGTAGTGCAGAGTTTCATGCATCCAGCTGATAGATATACTGGTCTTATAATAACAGATTTTAATAATCATTGTAAAGCTAGGTTGAAGTCATCTTGAATGATGGAAAAAAACTACAATAAACTGAACAATATAAAGAGATATATCTCTCTGACCTTGTTTCTACCTGATTCACACCCATGGTTATCCTCTATGTCTGTCTAAGGCGAGTTTATCTGATCAGACAGATGATGTAAAAGGTTACCGTTAATTTCAGAGTCGGAAAACACTTCCCTGGAGGAGAATTGGTCAACAGGTAACAAAGAGGGAAAAAACATGTTTGTTCCTCCAATGCATGGTGTGATTGACAAAGTTTATGACTTGTCAGCTGAAAAAAAACAAAGCAATCAGTGGTGTTGATTGAACCACCCCATACATGTTGGCATGGAGGTAGACATGCTGTTAGCTTGGTGTATACTGTTAATCCTAGGTTTGTCTTGGCACAAACACCCATAGAGGTAGACATGCTGTTAGCTTGGTGTATACTGTTAATCCAAGGTTTGTCTGGGCACAAACACCCATAGAGGTAGACATGCTGTTGGCTTGGTGTATACTGTTAATCCAAGGTTTGTCTTGGCACAAACACCCATAGAGATAGACACTGTTAGCTCGGTGTATACTGCTAATCCTAGGTTTGTCTGGCCACAAACACCCATAGAGATAGACACGCTGTTAGCTTGGTGTTTACTGTTAATCCTAGGCTTGTCTGGGCACAAACACCCATAGAGATAGAAACTGTTAGCTTGGTGTATACTGTTAATCCTAGGCTTGTCTGGGCACAAACACCCATAGAGGTAGACACGCTGTTAGCTTGGTGTATACTGTTAATCCAAGCTAACAGTGGGTATCTCTATGGGTGTTTGTCTGGGCACAAACACCCATAGAGATAGACACGCTGTTAGCTTGGTATATACTGTTAATCCTAGGCTTGTCTGGGCACAAACACCCATAGAGATAGACACTGTTAGCTTGGTGTATACTGTTAATCCAAGGTTTGTCTGGGCACAAACACCCATAGAGATAGACACTGTTAGCTTGATGTATACTGTTAATCCTAGGTTTGTCTGGGCACAAACACCCATAGAGATAGACACTGTTAGCTCGGTGTATACTGCTAATCCTAGGTTTGTCTGGGCACAAACACCCATAGAGATAGACACTGTTAGCT